ACACAAAGGATGCGCGCCTGGTGCATCTCAGTTGGCATCATTGTGCCTTCGTCCTGTTGATTTGAACCGCTGTGGTCCATTGGCACTGCATCGGTTGCAGCGTTGGCCTGCACCAGGTTCAAGCCCCTCCCAAATTTCAGAGGCCTTCAAAGGGAAAACCAAGCCTCCAAGATAACTTGTGATTCACAGAAGATTGATCTTGCAGGACGGTCACGAAGTAGCCTGATAGACTAAGCCATGACTAGCTGTCAACAAACCAGGAGCAACATTACAAGAGTTGGGCGACGGAGGCGCCTTCTGCCAAGTGCTTCCTCTTCTGCAATCTGATCATCGAGTTCCTACACAAAGATACTCAAGCTCCCCTGTCACTATTTAGATGCTGGAAGGGTCCTTCGTTGGCAAATGTTCCATCCCCGCTGGCATGGACACATCCCAAATGTGTCGCTTGGGATCCCAAAACAACCTACCAACCGCATCAGTCTCATCGAGCTCGGACACATAGCCAATACAAGTAAGCACATACTCATGGATTTCCGATTCCTGGCACACTGAGCATCAAGCCGTCACTGGCAAAGTTTAGTGAGTGAAAGGTGAAACGTCTAGGTCGAGTCTAGTAAAGCATCAATAGTTTTGTTTCGTGTCCTCATGTTCCTTCTCGTGCATGGTTTTTGCTGGCGGCGCAAAAATCTCTTCATCGCTCTCATCAACTTGCACTGTGCGTCTGGCAATAGCATCCCTCTCTGCTTCATCGGCAGCCCTCAGAGCAGCCTGAACTGATTCAGACACTGGTTCCTGACATGTGTCAGCATCTCCATCATTGGATCCAGAGCCATTTGCATCCGCATGTTTTTTGCCTTTGCGTTTGCTGCTGCCAGTTGGTTTCTTTTCTTTTGACGATTTGGCCTTCTTGGGTGCTGAAGGTTGCTTTTCTCGTTTGTTTTTCTTCTTTTTCTTTTCTGGTGCATTCTCGTCTGGGTCATCATCATTGTCACTACCACCCAGTGGATCTAAGTCTGGGCAGTACCCTTCTTCGTGTCTTTCTTCTTCTGTTTCTTGGATTGTTTATCTGATGGGCTCTCTGAGTCTTCGACGGCGCAACGCTTCAGCAGATTTGAACCTGAATGAAGCTTTAGATGCAAGAGCCCAAAAAGTCTAGAAATGGCAAACCATCAATACCCCCAAGACCCTGACCAGCAGAAGATGGTCCAGCTTGTGCAGCTGATGGCTTTGGTGATGGTTCCAGCAATGTCGAGTAGTCACTCATGGAGAAGGTTTTGGACACCATGACATTTCCTGCAGCTCCCACCGCAGGAGGAGCAGACTCAGAGGATGACGACATGACTTCCTCACCTTCGAGTCGGCAGTCCAAGCCTTTGAGCAAGCAAAATCCTGCACAAAAAGCAAGGGGAGTTTGCTCATTCACGTACTCAACCTCTGTGTGCCTGCAACAGCTCAAACACAGTGGATTGAAAATGCCTGCAAAAAGTGGATACTATTTTCTCAAGCTGCTCGTTTGCTCATGTGTAATTTTGCCCCAGAGGAAATTGAGCTATAGCAGCTTGCTGAGAGGATCCGAAACACAACCAGGGCATCAAACATCAATTGCAGCAATGTTGGAAATGCAACGCAGTGCCAGAGCCTGGTGTGCCCCTCCTCCCAACCCCAACAAAACCAAAGGAGCTCACAGGAGCTGGACCGCTTTGTCAGCGGTTAGCTCCATCTCACCTGCCAGTAGGCAAGTGGGCCTCACAGGAACTAAGGTCTCAGGCTTACCTGCTTCCAAATGCAGCCTCAGTGCCAAGGCAATGAAAAAACATGGGCTAGTCGGATACTGCTTGCGCAGCCGAAAAGCTTCAAGCGCCATGCCACGACCAAGTTCTTGGCCGTCCGAAGTTTTGCCAAGTCCATCTTGGATCCAAAGGTAAGGGCATTGCCGGTGCTCGCCTGGCAATGGCAGATCGAGTGTCGAGTGGTTTCCCACTCACAAGGTCAGGCCTTCTGTCTCTTCCTGTCCTTTGGTGGGTCCAAAGCAAAGCAAATCTTGGCATTACAGTCGATGGAAACAGCATTGGCATCATCTTTCTTGATGGTGTGCTCCAGCAAAGTGATGTTGACTGTGCCCTGGTTCTCAAACGCTTGTAGTAATTGCTGGAGTGTCATCACCTACAGCTGAAGGAAGCTGTTCAAAAACCCTTGGTGGGATGGTTTAATGATCACTTTCAGATTCTTGTCTCAATGGAGCCTATACAATAATATTATCTTAAAATCAAACAGATGAACCTGGTTCTGTGGAGTCTGAGTAGCGGTATTGAACACATCAATGGACTTGAAGTGATCCGGTAGCTTGCGATCCTCCTCCAACAAACACATAGTTTGAGACGCTGGCCCAGACATGTTGTAGGGGATCCAACGGCCTGACGAAGTTCCATCAGACATAACGTCATGAGCTTCGGTGCCACGCAAGAAATCACCCGATCCGAAAGAGAACATCTCCAACCATGCTGAAGCATGCGTATCCTTTTCACACGTGACGAAAAGGCATCCAGCTTCTTTGCACCAGTGAAGCTGCATTCCACCACACGACAAAGACAGCCTCCATGGGTCCGTGGTTGAAGGAGAAGCATTAAGTTTACTTCTATGAAGTCGCTTGTGTATATAGAGTATTTGAGGAGAGGTGAGGTGTAAGGTATTTGGAAAATCAATTGCTTTTCCTGGAAGGTCTTTTGGGCATTTTTGGACGACACTTGAACCTGTCAGCATGCTCCTTCTCAAAGTCTGACTTGGACTTGGTCCCTTGTACACAAAGCTGCTTGCTTGGTAGCTCAACGGTAGTGGTACCCTCTTGTACTTCACCTCCGCTCTGAATGTTCTTGGGGTTAAACTCACTGTTGTGCGCTGTAAGGAGTTCAGTGCACTCTGCACTGAAATCAGGATGCTTCTGTGTCCACATGTCTAGGACTAGTTGCTTGATGATCAACGTGCCGTCCGAAAGTGTCACACAAACTTCATAGCTTGGAGCCTGCATGGATTGCATTCCCTTCAACTCCGAGATTGCCTCTTCAAACCTCGGGAAGCCGGCGATCTTGAGGTCCCCAGACCTTGCAAGGCCATACATCCGATGCGCGACCAGGTTGGCACAGAAGAGAGTCTCGCAGCCAGAGTGGGCCACAGAGGCCACTGCCCATTTCTTGCCTTCAACGGTGCAAACAAAATCATTCCCTCCGCCTCCTCCCTGTGATTTGCTACGCGGTCCAAATCCTTTGCTACCATGACTAGCCATGAACACATACACTCCTTGCAGAGTCTCTATTTTGGTCTTTCTAATATATACTATTCCTTGCAAAGGACTCTCTTCCGTTGATAAGGGTTGGTCGGCGTTTTGTTTGTCAAAAGGAACCTCAAGACATACAACTCCTGGATACAATATATTATATATACATATATAAATACATGTATACAAATCCCCACCAAACTCTGCTTGGTAGCACTTAGCCTTGTTTTCCTTGGGCTGCTTCTCATTAAGTCTTAATGTTGACAGCTTCTTGTTCCAACATCAACTGTCAAGTTAGTCATCAACTGGCTTTGCTTAACATAATACAAAGAACACACATATACAATATATATATATAAATAAGACATCACAAGTTCTTTGTTTTCTTGATAGTTCTAAGCCTATTTGTTGATCCGTACTTCGTATTGAACTCACGCGACGCACACATGATTCCCCTTCTGGATGTGTCATAGGGTTTACATAGCAAGCAAAGACAAACCTCATGAGTCGGAGGCTATCAGCACTAGGCTGTCCCAAGAGCCTGAAAGCTAGTGGAAGCTGTTCAACTCTAACAAGGCCATCAACACTATTCAAAACAAAACCTTGCTTTCTTTGTATTATGCAATTTGTATTGATCTTTATTTGACAGAAAGATTGACATGTTGCAGAACAACACAGAAAGAAAGGACCCTGGCAAGCCCATGAGCGACAAAGGACTATTACCCGCCTGTCCTAGTGCATATTGAGCGAGCACATGGCTAGCTGGCCAGGCATCGAATGCAAACAGGTCGAGCAAAACCATGGGGCAATCGGGTGAGGGAAGCAAGGCATCCACAACGCTCCCAATGAAGGATGTCCCACCAGCGTGCTGAGTTGCCGGACACAGCACAAAAAGTAAATCTAAAGCATGTTCTAAACACTGGCAGTAATGAAACATAGTGGAGCTGCTCACAACATCACAACAAAAAAACAAATTGAAACATTCTTCATGGCTCAGCCATGTCTCTTGCTTTAGCTCTTGCACCTGGGTGAATCGACCATCGCCGCCATACTTGGCATCCCCTTTCGGTAGCTTGATCATCTCGGACCTGGACAGCATGGTCACCCCAGTAATGACTCCAGACCTCCAAAATGCTGTACGGTGGAAGACGTTAGACTTGTCATTGGACGTGACGAGGAGCACCTGTTGGAACCCGCATCGTGCTCCATAGACTGAGCTGGGCTCAAAGCACACAGTTGCCAACTTCGGCAACACTTGCACAACATCGTATCAAAAACTGAAAATCTGAAAAACAAAAACATGGACGCTGTAAGCAAAACACTTTCTATAAAGGGCAGTGTCTACAAGGTGCCTTCAAATTTCTGTCTCGCTCCATGAAGCTGCAGGCCAGTTTATGTTGGAAGTCACGCAAGATGCTGTCAGAACCTGGTGTAGCGCCTTCCTCGTCTTCACCTTTGTTCGGTGAACACAACGAAAGAAATTCACCTGGAATTAAGTTTCTAGAAGCTCCAAACCCACCTGAACCTCAAACAACAGCAAAAGTTCCGGGCACGGCCAAGCAACGTCCCTCATCACCCTCGGTCTTGGCCTGTTCCTCATCTTCGGAATCGTCGTGTTCTGCTTTCTCGGACCTTGGCAAGTTCTGGCTGGTATTCCATTACATTTCCATTATTTTGCCCAAGTCCAGACCCACTAAGAGCTCACAACAACTTGAAAACTGGGGTGGTGCTAACCGCTGTGGAGAGGCTTTGCTGTTGATCGGAGATCTCCAGCTCTGTTGGGCAAGACCAGTACTGCAAGGAAGGTGCGCGGATTGCTGTGGCACAGCCCTGTCACTTGCTGTAAAGCGAAGTGCTGCTTGAACGAGGACACCACTCCAGCCGCCACATAGTTAACGTATCCGATGATGGATTCGTTATCAGACCGCCTGATGCCTTGGTTCAGACCACCAAGAGTCGACTGAAGCCATGGTTCGAGTTTGGCTGAGAGAGCGCCGCTGCTGTCGGCATCAGCCTCTGCTTCGATGCCAGCGCCTGACTTCTGCATTCCATAGATGGGACAATGCGATTCATCTACATGAAACACGCCAATACCTCAATCATATCTTTCTAAAATTACAATTATTGAACATAAATTATTATACAGCCATCTGTTTACAGCCATCTGTTTGACAAACCAGCTAAAGGATACCCCACCTTTGTGTGGAGCATTGTTCCAAGTAGGGCACACGTCACTGATCTCTGCGTTCACCAGCCGCCAAGCTGTCTCATGCATTTTCTGACGGGTTTTGGAAGATAACATAAATCCAAGAAAGATAGATGCCCAACTACACTGAGCCTATGAGAGTGTTCAGTATTGTCCAGTGCACTTCAACCGACTTCAACGCGCTCAATCCCTGTCCTCTAGCTGCCCCAAGTGCTGCCCTGGCCCGCTGAGTGTCACCAGAAGCAGCAACAAGGTGACGTCTGTGGGCCACCTGGTCAGCTTCCAAACTCAAATTGAATCCAGCAGTGATGGACTGCCTGAACGCTGGCTGGATGCGACTTTGTGCTCGCTCGATCTGCTGCTCTTGCAAAACTCCTCGAGCTTCCAGGATGAAGCTCAACTTCTTGTAGTCGAACTCTGAGCTGGCAGACTTGCAGTGCATCTTCAGCTCTGCATCAAGCAACCTGATGCCAGCTGCTGCTCTTAGCAGCAAAATAGAATATAATTGTATCGGTGATTTACACCCAGCTTGCCCAACTACTCATCTTTGTGTCAATGAATGAGTTCGCAGTATAAAAGCTTCAGGGAGAGAAACAAACATTCAAACCATGTGGATCGTTCTAAGGTCAGTGTTGTTGAAACATCCAACATATGGTTTTCATGACACAACAGAAGATTCAATGATAGAACAGAACATTATATAGGAACTTGTTCTTTTCCACGGTCGCCCAATCCAGAATCAAGGAGTATATTTCAAGGTAGTGTGTATTCCAAGGAAAGTGTGTTTTCCTATTCCTGGATAGTCAATCATTCAATGTCTTGTCAGTGTGTTTCTCATGCCCTTCAGAATGTCTCATTATCTTCCTGACGGCTTCAACACCCAGAAAAATATCCCATTCAATGTCTCGTTTTTTCTGATCGGCTTCAAATCCTTGAAAAATGGTCCATTCAATGTCTCGTTTTTTTTTGACCGGCCTCAAATCCTTGAAATATGGTCCATTCAATGTCTCGTTTTTTTTTTTGACCGGCCTCAAATCCTTGAAAAATGGTCCATTCAACGTCTCGGTTTTTTTTCCATTCCATTTTGAATGTATCGTTTTTTTTGGTGATTGAATTTCGGAGACTGATATAAAAACCATGTATTTTTTTGATGTTTTCAACATGTCCAAAAAACGTCTCGGTTTTTAAAAACCCATGTACAAATCCTATGTTTTTGAGGGGGGGAATGATTTTTTGAAAGATTTTTTGGATTGCCAAAAATCTTCCCCCCCCAAAAAAACCAATGATTTACGTCTCGGTTTTTAAAAACCACTGTACAAATTGATCTTTGTCAAAAACCTCAGATTTTACATGGTTGTGATTTGAAGATCATAAATCTGAAATTTTAAACATATTTTGTTTTTATGTTTTAACATTTAATCAACTATTTATGTATATATTTTTTGAACAACATGTTTGATATATATATATGTATTAAGAAGTTTTTTTGTTGTTATACATGTTACATGTTTATAGTTTATTGAAAAATAGTTATGATATATATATATATACAATAATATTGTTGTTATAATATATATATCTTTTGTATGAACATAATTTTTTGAATGCAGCCACATCACCCCTGCTTCCACATGTTCTCAATTTTGTCTAGAGTTTCCCCAGGGCCAAGATAGGTGCGCAAGTCTGAAAGAATATGGTGCCAAAGGCAACAGATCTCCAGCAGGTCGCACATGCCGGGGGCGTCACGTTGTGCAAGCTTCTGGATTCGTCGATTAGACACTAAGTTGAAACATAACTTATTATTGCAGTATTTGGCTTTTATATGTTTCTCTAGCAGCTTTAAGAAGTCTCAAAATGTGTGTGCCTTTCAGCAAACAGTACAAAGACCAGAACTCATTTTATTGGACCCAGTGATATATCATATATCCTAGTCCTAGTCATATATCATTTCATCATATGGAAACTCCAATGGATTTTTTTGCACACAGCACCTTCTGCTTCACAGGGCTATCCCTTGGGGCCTTCCTTTCATGCTCATCAGCAGCACGCGCAGCCCACATCAGAACGGTCTCTTCGCGAACAGTCTTGCAGGGTTCAGTGGCAGTCACAGACTCACTATGATTATAACAACTGCCATACCCAAAATTACCAACACCAATGACCAATACCATTCAGGTTCAATCTGTCCTTGATTGCTGCCCATGGTTGTGGCTGGGAACCTCCGATGACATGGCCTGGAACATAGAAGTCGCCCTCCAAGTTGTCCATGGTTAATGCGGAATGCTCCCATTTGCATCGATCGCCAACCATCTTCAAAACGTCAAGGAAGCCAACTGGGCACCTGATCAAGTTGTAGATCAACTTGCGGATCTCCTCTTTGATCTTCCAGGACTTGGTGGTGCAGCTTTATTGTACTCTTGCACCGACTTAGTCAGCAAGTCACGCAAGCTGGCATGAGGCTGGGCAACCTTCTTAATCCTGGCAATCTCACGGAATAGAAGAACGAGATCTAATGGCCCTGGTTTCTGCTTCTCTGCTGTGCGGTTGGCAAGGCCTGAGCGCAATCTACCAAGATCCTTCAACAAGGTTTTATTGTCCTCGAACCTACTATCACAACAATATGGACAAGCAAGCGCCGAGCTCGGCCGAGCTTCTCAACGCTTCATAGAAGAAACACTCTTCCGAAGACTGATGTGAAAAGTTCGCTCGCAGATATTTAAAGGACGCCACCACTGCACAGAACTGAGGATCCTCTTCCACCTCATGAGGCTCCACAGCCTTGGGGCAGAGTTGCTAAACGCAAGACTATTGGTGCCTGAGGTCTGATGATAGCAAGGGTACCTAAGGCCTGAACACAATGGGCCAAAAGTCCGAAGATAGCCTGGATGCAAACACCCTTTGTGTGGCCGTCCACATACATCACTGAAAACAGTTCCAGATCAGGTTGATCAAAGCGTACTTCCAAAGGCTCCCGATCACCTTCAAACCCACGGTTCAGAAATGATGGCAAGTGCAACCGCATGGCCACATTGCTTGGAAACTTGCCACACTTCGCATTCTCACTGAAATTGAGATGCCACGGTTGGAGGTAGAAACCTTTTCGTGAATTGGGCGGGACAGCTTTGAGAACTGGTCCATTGATGCTGGGAATCTTGTCCGCTACCCCCGGTGTGGAGAGGTACTTTGACATCACCTCCAGACTCAACACGAAGACTAGACAATTAATGACAATGTTGTGCATCTGACTACACACTCATGAGCAACAAGTGCAAAGGAATGCACCTCACAAAACTTATCCTCCTGACCGCCATAGGTTGACCACAGCCATTGTCCCAAGTTTTGGGAACTAGTGATCTGGCACAGGCACATTGATGAATCACTCAATGACTCACCGGACAACACATGTTCGCAAAGCCTCCTCCACTGCAGTCATCAGTTTGTCGAACAGCTTTGTCTCCCCCGGAGGTTTCACTAAAGAAACTCCCTTCTCCTCCTGTCAGTTGGTGCTTTTACTTCTCAGCAGGTAAAACAACACGACTTGTGGACCTTGACATCTGGAGGTGGCTCCACTGGTGCAGCTCTGTTCTCCATGCGCCTGAAGCAAACAATGGCTGACAGACCAATGCCAAACCGATGAATGGCCTGGCCTTAGCCCAGTTTGTAGCTCCTCTCACTCTTTCAAGAACTACTGTAAAAAGCTGGCTTGCAGGCACTAAATCATGAACGGAAGGAAAAACAACTGCTCCAGAGTCGCCTAACACAGTTGTGCACGCAGCTTCAAAGAACTCTGACTCTGAGATGTTATTTTCCTAGAAATGCCGATGAAATTGCACCCGCAACTGATGGGTGACATGAGGTTCTGGTTCCGCTAGTGCCGGTGCCCCACGAAATATGTCGGGCGAGGCTCCATTCAAAATGAATTGTAGCTGTGGCAAAGGCTTACGTGTGACAGCCAACTCCCCTGCAAGCTGTAACAAATATTTTGATCCCCGGCTCATGTTTGAATATGCCGAGGACAAATGCTGGGCCAGAAGTTTCAGTTCCGCTTTGCGGTCATCTGACAGATACGTTGCTGAGCCTTAGAAGTGAAGCAGTGGGGAAGTGGCAGGGTTGATTACTTGAGGCCTGGACATGGCACGTTGCCCTCTCCAATTTTCTTCATGGCATCATTCAAGTGCTCTTGCTTGCAGCCAGGGAAGACAAGTAGAGGAGGCTGGCAAATATCAGAGTCACTGACAAATGCCTTCACGAGGCAAAAAACATCTTTTGGTGAAGCTGTGAATGGTGCTCTGAGACGCTCATCGGCTTGTTCAAGTAGACGGCGTGGCATACCTGAACTTGCATTCCATTTCCCAAACTCAAGGCTTAAGGCTTCACATCCAAGGTTTGACAAGTTGCATTCGCGTCTTACAAATGTGTAAGAGTGTGGTGCAATCTTCTCGTCGGTCATTGAACGCCGGCGGTAAGAACCAAACATTGTCGCATACTTGGGCAAGCAATCTGCCCAGTTCCTGTAATTGTTGATGTATTCCACATGGAAAAGAATCCCCCGAGATGTGAACAGCGGCGAAACTCTTTGTCTCAACATCCTTAAAGGACCGGGCAAGTTTGTTTGTGAGAGTTGATAGCTCAAATGAGTTTCTGGCTGGACGATGTCTTGTGGCTCCTGCCTCAGTGTCCCACTCATGTTTTGTTGATCAAAATTGCTGGAAGCAAACATCTGTTCTAAGCAAACGGCATGGTGTCATCACCCTCCCGAATGAACTTGCACAAAAGGCCGAAGAATGCATCTGAGCAAGCTGAACAAAGTTGGCACTGTTCATTAGACTAGACAATTGCAGTTTCCAGCCTATGTCTTCATGGGTGTGTCCAACTGTTAAGTGCTCTTGTGATCCATGGCGGAACCATCCGCCACTGATCAAACAAGAGAGGTAGCTCCCAAACAATCCGTTTTTCACTTCCTGATGGTCAGATCATTTGACACAGCAAGCATTGTGACAAACACTAAGTGCACCCAGTCCTTGGGGTTCTACTGAGAGTTTCCATCACCCAGCTTGCTCCAGCAGTCTGGTCAGAGTCTGTCACAAATGTACACACAGCATGTCCGTGTATCATCACTGTATACAACTCGCACGATGGGCGAACCACAGTCTCCAGCGCTTTTGGAACACGCCCCTGGTAATACCTTGGCAGGCTAAATTTTGATTTGTCCATTCCATCGCAGATTATGGTCAATAGGTCCCTTTCGTGTCTGGACCTTGACTTCAACTCCCAGTAGACCTTACGGTCAGCGAATTGACCGGAAAGGTGTCTGTAGAGCTGGTCGCTGGCAGAGGCATGTTCTTGGATCCCTCGAGCAGCCCGGATTCTTGCTTTTAGCTTGTGGCACGTTGTGCACATGGAATGCTGTGACTTCGCCCTGAATCTCAGGACATGGGCCCAACCAGATTCATGAAACGTTCTGAAAAATGTTGAGCTGCTGGCCGCCTTTGCTTGGCATGCGATTTGATGTGACTGATGCAAATGAAATATATCTGTCGGAGTTCCAGGTGGTAAGTACCGCCGAGCTAACCCTTCAGGTCCACTCCGAGCAACGCCGCGAGCTAGATCTGACTCAAGCGAGGAGTCAAGCAAAGCTGTAAGCAAGTCTTTCTGTGATTGTTTTGTGTCAATTGTAAGAGCTTGCCCATCCATCCGCACATCCAGCCTTAGCCATCTCAAAGAAGTTAGGAGAAATTCAATCTGGACTGAGATGCCCACTCTGTTGGCAAGGTTTCACCGGTGCTATAGTACAACCGCTCGAGAAAACTGGTCACAGAAGCAGTTGCTTCAGCAGAGCGTCTTCCAACTGCTCCTAGGCTGGTAGACGATGTAGACGAATCAGAAGCACCAATTCCATGCCACAAGGTTACAATGAAACCACAGCACAAAACTGCGTCTGAAGTTCCAAACTTGCGCATATCCTGCCCTCGGAAAACTTCCCTTGTTCTAACAAGCCGGTTGGACCCAATACCCATTAATCTCATGAAGGCTTCTCGGCAAATATGGACACCTGGAGAGTTTCAGATGGAATCTGTTTCAAAAATCAAGCTGACTGTTCCGAACCTTCGATGTACCACTTGTTCATGGTCCGTCGTCTTGGTGATCGAGAACGGCTCGAGTAGCTGGAGGTGGAATGATCTGAATCTGATCCCGAGGCACTGGATTCCTCCTCAGGTTCCTCTTCCCACAGCCCTTTCACATGACGCGACTGCATGGACCAAAGAACACAGTCCTGCCCTGATTTGGGAAGTGACCAGAAAAGAGTAGCTGCAGCTACAACATGGGCGAAGCTGATCCTTTTCCCACACTTAGCGTCACACTTGCATACATTGTTCATGGCTTGTTTGATTCTTTCTTTGCTTTTTCCATTCTCAGCAAACTTGGACAGTTCCTGCTCAGTACTGTCCTCTGCAAATGCATGCAATTGATTCAAGACCAACTCAACCTTTCCCACCCTTAGAGCTGCTGCAGACTCTTGGTCATCCGTTTCTGATCCGGATGATGAACCGGATGTGGATGAGCTCGACGACGAAGTGGCTTCAAAACGCTTTAGCATGCCAGCAAACTACAAACAAATGAAGCAAACAAGCATCACTCAGACCTTTTGACACAACAATGTTGCTGTGTGTGTGTGTTTGTTCGATTGTTTGTTTCTGAACATGTTGAACAGTGTTTACCTACCGGCTGCTATGGTGAGCCACTGCACAGCAACCTGACCTGGCCAGACACATGCATGACACAGACAATGACAACTGCTCACATCAATCTGTGTTCGCGAAATGCCCTCGCAAGACTGTAGAAGCATTTCCCACGCTGATCTCTCAAAATCTCACTTGCCACAGCGTGTAGCTGCGACCAGTTTCTCATGTGCAAACTCATTGAACCGCAGGATATCTACTGCTGCGAACCCTGCCAAAAAAGCTGAGGCAACGCACTTCACGTTCATAGCCTCAGGATGAAAAAACAAGTGAGGCAATCTGAGTCTGCAAGCTCAGTCATTTTGTGACCAGTGGCATTTCCTGACAAGCCGTGGAGTTCCTGCCACTTACACTTCTGAGATCTCTCAACTGGGTCAAGTGGGTCAAGTGCCTTCTCCGACAAGTGGGTCAGGGACAGCTTGTCCACGGGAAAGCTCTGGAACATCAGTTTGTCGATGCCTCCAGAACAGTACACAGTCAGACCTGAAGAGTACTTGAGGAACAAACTGGCCTGTGAAAGGTCGAGAAGCTTCCATGTTGAACAAATCTGCTTGAGGTGTAACGCATGGAGAAAACTTGGGCATTGGGCTCATGCGGTCAATCTGTTGGCTCAAATTCAGGTCCCAGTGAAGCCGGTGGTCTTGAAGATGTCCAACGCCTTGGTCTGAATAGGTACTGTAATAAGAAGAGTCACATTGAATCATGTGTGAAGATGTGTGAAGTAAGCTTCGAACGTGCTGGGCTCGTTGGTTGGCAAAGTATTTCTTGCCAGTCTGATGTTGCTTCAGGGCGTCCGGCTTCACCTTTGCAGGTTCACTGGTGCAAGTATTGGGACTCAACTTCAACATGTTAAAATGCCTTCTGGTTCTTCATGAAGTTCCAGTGCTTCAGCAACCACCGCGGTTTTTTTGCTTTTGGCCTTGGACAGAACCATTGTAGGGAGCACCAAAACTGCTGCTTTACAAAAACTGGTCAACTGGCAACTGGAGATTCCAATTGAGACATATTGAGACAGGGAACTTCTTTGTCAGGTTGAACGGCTGCTTGTTGCGAGGTTGCTCTTTTTTGCGTTTGGTATCCGCTTTCCATTGGTCAAGGACTGTTTCAACATAGTCTGAATCGTGCCTCAGCAAAAGGTCAGGCCTCAGGACCAAGTGTGGGCAGTCAGTGAACCAGAGTCTTGTGTACTGTGTCCCGGACACTGATATGCCAGGTGTATGCCCCACTTTTGTTCTGTCATATGTTTCTTTGCAGTGACTCTCCAGGTCCTCGTGACTCTTGATGCAGTCCTTCACCACATCCCTGGGCAGAGTAGACATTGGGCAATCTAAACAGCAAAGCATTCTATGATATCACTTGTAACTGTTTGCTTGTTTGTGCTTCAACTATTGAGCAACTACTGCCAAGAAACTTCCTGACCAAGATTACATACACTCTCCGTCTGGATGCT